GGGGCCTCCGGGGCCTCCGGGGGGCGGGGCTTCTGGGTGGGCGGGGCCTCCGGGGCTTCCGGGGGGCGGGGCTTGTCCCGCTTGGCCTCCGTCAGGAGGAGGAGGAGGAGGAGGAAGAGGGCGCTCAATAAGACGCGCATGGCGGGCGGGGGGGGCGGAGCTTAGGGAGGAAACCGTCTCCATGGTAACCGGGGGGGGGAAAGAGCAGAAAACATCCTATAGTCAGCAGTTAAACCATAAAATATCAGACAGATATCCAGAAATTCATTCATTAAAATGACAAAAATCACTAAGAAATCATTTAAGTGATAATAACAGAATAATAGATAATAATAATAGTAGATTGTTTTAAAAGCAATGCAATAATTATGAAATGTTAAGTTAAATATTTTAACATATTGTTAATAAAAATAAAAATATATATACATATATTTCTCAATTAAAAAAACAATACAATTATTATTCAATAATAAATTTACAAGATTAAATATTCAAACATATTAATAGAAAATAAAATGAAAAATATGTTTCTCAATTAAAAAACAATACACTAATTCAATTGAATATTTGAAAACATTGTTAATAAAAATGAGGATAATAAAGTATATCATATTTTGTATTTATATTCATATGATTATTTTCAAGTGAAATATTTAAAAATATCTATATTTTAGGTTAAGTTAGTTTTTTTAACAATATCTAAACTGGTGGGCATTCGGACCACAAACAGCCTCCTCATGACCCCAAAAACACCACCTTCAAATAAGCTTCTAAATTAATTTCTAAATCCAATCAAGAACCAGATCAGGACACAGAATGGCTGTCAAGGCTTCTCCGATGAGCCAAAACCAGAATTCGAGGCTCTGACTTGGTGTTTTTAGGCCGTCTGAGGCCTTTTCTGCTTCATGTTTTGAAGCTGTTGGAGATTAAATCCCAAACAAATGAAAAACCAGCTCTGTAAAGTCAGACTTTTGACTGTTTGGTGACAAAAATGAGCCTGTGTTGGAGCTAATGGCTCAGAGGTGGCGTCCCATTTCTGGTGGTAACATCTGGATCTGAGGAAAGCAGATGTTGGACCGCTCATCAGAGTGAGGCCTGGAAAAGAGCTCCGGGTTTCTGGTCCAGGGAGGAAGTCCACAAACCTCTTCTTGAAGTTTTGTTTGGGCCCTGAGCTTCTGGGGGAGGTTTGTGTTTGGTTCAAATCTGCTTCGTAAATAAACAAAGTCATGTTTACTGGCCTAAAAAACAGGAATAAATGGGCAAAAATACGTTTTTCTATGACTAAAGAAGAGCCGAAC